TCCCCCCTTTCCCCAAACCGCCCTCTTCATTGGCACAGAGAGAAGCGATAAAAGCTGACGGGATTTATTAATAGCACCTCTCCCATCACCAGGGAGCGAGCAGCGCTTTGGGAAACGGCTTCGAGCAGCGGCTGTCGGAGGCCAGAAGGCACCAACTTACTTTTGTCCGAGAGATGGAGGGTCCGGGCGGTGGGAGGGCTCTGGGGGGCTTCCAGCTGGTGTTGGGATGGAGAAGGAGAAGTGGTGCTGAAGGAGCAGGGAGAGACTCCCAGGAGCGGTGCTGGGGGTGTCCTCCGAGCTGTAGGGTGGGTGGCCGCGGTCCCCACCGGTTCGGTTGCTGCAGGTAGTTGCTGCCATCTGCAGGCTGGCCGACCTCAGCTGGAGGAGAGGTACCCTTCGGGCTCCTGCCAGCAAGTTCAAGGTATGCAGTTAGCGATGTGCTTTGAAAGTCTGCCTTTTTTTTTTTTTTTTTTTTTTCTTTTCAGGGCTGAAAAATCCATTTTCCCGTGCTCTGAGAACAACAGGGGGAAAGGCAGATCGCCCTTCGTGCAGCCCCCAGTGCCGGCTGCTCGGCAGCACTGGGTGATGGGGATACCACAGGGGGTGGCACAGCTTGCCCAAGTGAGGTTTGTGGCACCCAGGGGGTTTTGGAGGGGCTGTCACTATAAGCAGTGGCACAGGTTGCCTAGAGATGTGATGGATGTCCCTACAGACAGCCAAGGTCAGGCTGGATGGGACTCTGAGCACTGATGGAGCTGTGGGCATCCCTGCTCATTGCAGGCAGTCGGACCAGGTAGCCTTTAAGGGTCCCTTCCAACTCAAACAGTTCAATGATTCCGTGACTCTATGATTAATGTTGGAAAACACCCCAAAGATCACCCGTCATGCGCACTCCACCATGCCCACTGACCACATCCATCAGTGCCACATCTCCACAGTTCCTGAACACCTCCATCCCCCACAAAGTAACCACTGACCCACTCCTGTTCATTGACCCCATTCAGCCCATGCCTACAAACCCTGGGGTCTCCTCCCTCACCCAGCGCAGCTCACCTCCTGTTTGTACCTTGGGACAGCTACTATGGGCCCACCCTGCCCAGTCGAGCTGAGACCCTGCAGGGGCTTGGAGCAACCCTAATTTCCCCTTTGGGGGATGCCCTTTGGTTACAGCTGGCTCCCACCCCAGGGAAAACACCTGCTGTTGGAAAGGGGTTCCCTGGGCGCCAGGTAGGACATGATGTCCCATTGTGCTGCTGGTGGAGGAGATGGTGCGGGGGCACCCGGCCCACAGTAGGGGTTTGGTCCTGCATGGTCATTGAGGTCCCTTCCAACCCAACCATTCTGTGATTGTAAGGCTGCTCCAGGATGCCCTGGCATCCACTTGCCTCTGGGCTGTGGGAACCAGTGGCATCGCCTGTGCTGTTGCCATGGGGTTGCCATGGTATTTGTCTCTGCTGTTGCCATGGAGAGAGAAGGAGGTTGGGAATGGGGGGCTGCTGCCAGGGCCACCAGCACGTCCCCAGGTCCTGCAGTGAGGAGTCAGGAGTTGGACTGACCCAGAGCTCCCCAGGTTCTCCTCCTTGCACTTCTTGAATCTAGGACTGACATCACCTCTCCCAAGGAACAAGCTCACCACTAGTATAGCAGCAAACAGATTTATGACTGATTTCTTGCATCCACGTGAATACACACATATTCAACACATCACCAGCACACAGTGCTGTGGAGGAAGAGGGCCACCAAGAGGACAAGGGCCTGGAGCAGGGTGACACAGTGCAGCATTGCCAGTACTCTTGGGGCAGAGCATGGAGGAGCAGTGGGAGCAAGTGGGGAGCCCCCCAGCAGATCAGTCTGTGCAGGGCACACTCATGAGGCACCCTCTCTTTCTCGTGCACCATCACCAGGAATCAGGCCAGGTAAAGATGGGCAGTGGCTGCCCCTGAGCTTCCCTGATGGGAGGTGACTGAGTGCACTGATTGGGAGTTGGGGCCACAGCAGCCATTGTGTGTTTGAGGGATGTCACCACCATGTCACAGACATGGCCCTGTTTAGAGTGGCTCATTTGGTGGCCCTCTATCAGAAGAGCAGCTGGGAGGAGGAGGTGGGTAGGAGCAGGGTGCTCACCTCGTCAGTCAGCCTCCAAAATCCCAAAGCCCAGACACCCTTCAGGCTGGTTGTGTCCATGCCACCATCACAGGGCTGTTGTTGAGCTTTGTGGTCATGCTGGTGGCCACACACGTAATGTGACTTCCAAGCAGAAGATGAAGCTATGGATTCTGGCAGTCATGACAGTCCTCCCAGCCTCAGCATTTGGGGTTGCTGGGACCACTGGGTGTGCTGCACCATTCCTCTGCTGGGCATAGCAGTGCTGGCCATCCTGGTGGTCAGGAGGCACTGCACCAGTGACAAGCTGGTGTCCTCCAAATGCTGCCTGGGCACAGCCTGGTACAGGGGCATGGGATGGGATGAAATGATGGGATGAAGTGATGGGATGGGATGGAAGGAAGAAGAGGAGAGGAATGGACTAAAATTAGGTAGAACAAAATGAAATGAAATGAAACTAAATGAAATGAAATGGAGCGGGGTGGGGTGGAGGGCTCAGCTTTGCACCAGGCTGAAGCTGAAGACATTCCTATCCCTGTGACTCCATTCCCCTTCCCAGGTCCTTGCTTCCCAAGCAGTGCCCACCAAGGCTGGCATTCCCCACGAAGACAAGCTTGTTTGTGGAGCAGGGCACGTCAGTAACAGAGAGCAAGCAGATGGACAGGAGGACGGAGCAGAGGGGCAGGAAGGGGCCTGGCCCCACATTGCACACCTCGTGCTGCTGTGGTGGGCTCTCCCCATATCCCCAAGAACCTTTCTGGGCTGAAGCATCTCAGAGCTGCCAGGGCAATCTGTCAGAAGACCTGAGTGATGGTGCTGCACCTTTCCTGTCTGACAGCAGAACCCGCTGTCCCACCAGGAGTTCCACATGCAGCCAGTTGAGGTCACATCAAAAAAGACAGCATAGAAGCAGACTGCAAAGCAAATCAGCCTCTGGAAGAAGCTTGCCACAGGAGAGACAAGAAGGAACTTCAAGTCCAGCCGCCAACTCAGGGCTCCTCAGGAACTTACCCTCCACTTCCAGCATGGAGGACCTCTCCACAACCCTGATGGAGTCCTTGGACACCACACAAATCTGCCTCAGCCTGCTGGCCAAAATGGAAAAAAACAATGACAGCGGTGCTCAAAGGACACGCGGGAGCTACAGGAGCAAATACCCCGTCTGCATGCAGTGCTGTCGGTGCCTGGACAACAGCTGCCCACACCACAGCACCTCCTCAGCCACTGCAGCCACGGCCATGCTGACTGCCTTGATCTTCTCCCTGGATGTGATGGTGCAGGAGGAGAAGGTAAAGCTGAAGGTTGGGTTGCTCTTTGAGCTGTCCAACAGTGGAAAGACATTGCATGCATGGGGGAAAAACGTGTGGCTGCCCAAATGTTGTGGCAGTGAGGAATACTGCGAGGAGTGTGGAGAGCCTCTGCCCAGAAGTCCCAAAAACTGGGGGATGCAACAAGGGGAGTCCTCCCTTCCCACCACAGCTCCCGTCTGGCCCTTGCCCCCATGGGCACAGCCAATTCCCCCAGATGCCCTGGAAAGGTTGCAGAGAGCGGGGGTGGAGCCCATGCCCCAGGTGGAGTACAGGGGCCTGGGGCACAGCAGCACAACGCAGTGCCTCCTCTGCTTCTGGTGGAAGATGAAGAGCAAAGTGAAGAACCTGAACAAAGTGGGGGCAGCTGAGGGCAGCAGACAGATCAGCATCTGATGACACTGTGGGAAGAGACCAGCTGCTGCCCACCCCTCTGCTGCTTGATTTTGATTTCTCAGCTACAATGCAGGGAGCACTAGCAATAAAGAGGACCACGGCATACTGTGTAGGTGTTTGATTTGAGGAGCCAATCTCTCCCATTCCCCTCCACACAGCCATACCAACACCCCTGTTGGCTACTGCTGCTGATGGCAACTCTCTGTCATGATGATGATCTCTCCATCACATTTGAAAAGTCATCAGGCAAAGTCCCTGAGGCCTGGAAAGGGGAAACATCGATCCCATTTTTAAGAAGGGGAGAAAGGAGGACCTGGGGGACTACAGGGCAGTGAACCTCACCTCCGTGCAAGGAAGATCATGGAGCTGATCCTCCTAGAAAAGATGTTCAGGAACATGAGGGAAAAATAGGTGATTATCAATCCCCAAGTGTCACCAGCATTTGGATCCCCTGTTCTGTACACACGTCAGAGAGTCCAAAGGAGGTAGACATGCCTCATGGCTAGTTCCAGTGCCTTGGGTGGCCAAACTGGGCTTCCCGAGGCTGGCAGCCTGTGCTGCCTGTCCACAGAGTGCTGCTGAAATGCTATTGTTCTTAACAATCCCTTAAGTATATTACACCTACCGCAACAATCCTCTTAGAGGAAGCTGTCAAGACAGCTGACAAAGGGCAGGGTGTCATTTAAATACACCTAGGTGTTAGTCTGGATGGAAAGAGCATGGCCCAGGGCATGGGAAGAGGCAACAGGGCTCTTGGGCTCCTTCCAGGCTTTGTCCCATCCTGCACACATGTGGGCTTGAGTTACTGGTGGGGGGAGCAGCATCCCTTGGCCCCAGCTAGAGCTGTCACCAGCCCATCTCTCGCCATGTAGTTCCACATCTCCTGTCAGCCTTCTTAATGGAAGGACTGCAGAGCTGTGATTCAGACCTCAGCATCCAGCTCATCTTTGGTGCAATCTGGCGGCCCCACGTGGATATGTTCAGCTCCTGCAGTTAACGTAAGTTTTGCTCAGGCTGGTGAGCCACAGCAACCCTCGATGCACTCATAAAAAACAAAGTACCAGATGTGTGCTCACAACCATGACCCCAAACAGAAGCAATACATCCCTAGAACAGGTGACCCATTGGAAACCCTTGGGGTGAAATCACATATTACATCAAGAGGTCACAAATGACGTGGTAAAATTCTAAGCCAGGACCACAAGCCAATCACTTTATCTTATAAATAATCTCATACTGAGCTCTCTGGAGCACTGAGCTAGCTCAGTGCTGGGCTCATCAGATCAAGGGGGACAGGGAACTGCTGTAGAGAGCTCAGCAGAGGGCTGGGCAGAGCAGAGATGGTGGGGGCCTGGAGCATCTCTGATGGGGAGAGGATGAGAGCCCTGGGGCTGTTCAGCCTGGGGAAGAGAACAGGAGAGGGGATGATTGATGCTGATTAATATCTAAATGGAAGGGGTCAGAAGGCCAGGCTCTTTTTGGTGGTGGCCAAAAAGAAGGGGCAACAGGCACAAACTGGAACCCGGGGAGTTCCATCTGAACATGAGAAAAAACCTCTTCACTGTGAGGGTGATGGAATACTGCCCAGACAGGTGGTGGGGTCTCCTTCTCTGGAGATATTCCAAATCCACTTGGATGCTTTCCTGTGTGTGTAACCTGCTGTAGGAAACCTGCTTTAGCAAGGGGTTGGACTGATAATCTCCAGAGGTCCCTTCCAACCCCTACGGTTCTGTGATTCTATAATTCTGTAAACCAGGGTGATTGCAGAATGCTGTGCTGGGGCACATGAGAACATCTCCCTAATTCCTGGCCTCAGCACCTCCCCAGCTAAATCAGGTGGCTGCAGCACCAAGAGCAGCTTATTGCCCTGTATAACAGCTCCAGTCATGCTGGCATGAGGATAAAGTGGGGATCACCAAGATTAGTGCTGAAGCCAACAGCTGAGAGCTCACTGTGAGCTCAGGTTCCACTGGGAGCTGTGTCCTGACTTGTCTGTTTCTGCTAAGAGGATCTGGGCAGTCCAGTTAGAGCTGAGAAAACACCATTTCCACAATACACAGTTTCCTCCTTCTCTTGGAACACCAAGCAGAATAGGGGTGAGCACCACAATCGATGAGCTGCGGTTGAAGCAGGGTATCATCTGTGCTTCGAGAGAGCAGGAAAAGATTGCTGGGTGAAATGCAGCATCTCTGCCTGCTCTCTGCATCTGGAGCATCCTCAGATGCTGCAGCAGCAGCCCTGTGGCCACATCGCCATTCTGCCCAAGATATCCCAACTGTTACAGGCTCACTAGAGGTTTAACCACACATGCAGGACTTAAGGCTGATCCAGGTACACATGCTGCATTGCAAAGCAGAGCAGAGCAGGTCAGGTTGCATGGAGCAAGGCCAGATCCAGACCCAACTGCCACAGGGAACACCTTCATTGCAAGGGCAGCCCTTCACCAAAAGCTGCTGGGTGAGAGCAGGGGACAAAGTCCTGAGCAGATGCTGTTCTCCTCAGAGGAGCCCTGACTGCTGCCCTGAGAAGTCTGCAAAGTGATGAAGATGCTTTCTTGCTCTCTGAGGCACAACCTCACCAATGCTGAGGACAGAGGGACAATCACTTCCCTGCTCCTGCTGGTTACACTATTTCTGATCCAAGCCAGGATGCCTTCTTGGCCACCTGGGCACACTGCTGGCTCATGTTCAGCCGAGCATCAATCAATACCCCTAGGTCTTGATCCCTATACAGTCTTCCAGCCACTCTGCCTCAAGCCTACAGCCATGCATGGGGTTATTGTGGCCAAAGTGCAGGACCTGGCACAAGGTCTTTTTGAGCCTCATCACACTGGTCTCAGCCCAGCTATCCAGCCCTCTGCAGGGCCTTGCTACCCCCAGGCAGATTAACACTTCCCCTCAAATCTATATCATCTGCAAACTTACTGAGGGTACGCAGCAGGATGCTGAGAGGCCTGTAGTTCCCTGGATCCTCTTTACAACCCTTCTTGTAAGATGGGAGACACGCTGGCAAGCCTCCAGTCCTCTGGGACCTCTCCAGTTGACCAGGAATGCTGATAGACGTCCAAATCAAGGAAATGTAAAATGTTAATGGGAACTATAGGATACTGAAAGAAGCATATACCTGAGTTTTCTAGCATTCCCTGTGTCATGGTTTTGTGATTTTTGGTTTTCGGTATTCCACATCATAACATCATGTGGGGCAGTGGGAGTTTAACTGTTGGTGCTCAAGCTCTGGGTACCTGCCTGGAAGAGAAGAAGAACTACATTCCCCAAGGGACTTTGCGGTCACAGAGAGTCTCGAGATACAACTCCTGGCAAGGTCACCTGATGCACTCTTCTTAGCCTGCTCTTCGTCGGCTCTCCTCCCCTTTTCTCCCTGCTGCTCAGCTGGACTGCGCATCTCGCCTCAGCTCTCCGCGTTGTGGTGAGGCCTATCCACCTTTCGGACATTCTCTCTCTCATTATATTTGATTTATTAGCTTCAGATTTAATTATATTGTATTATAGTGTGTTATCTTGCATTCCGTTAAGATATTTAGTAAATTAGTTTGTTTCTCCTCAGATCGTTGCCGCTGTTTTTAATTATTTTGGGGTCCCCTGTTCCCTTTTTCTGGAGGCGCGGATCTGCGGATCCCTCCGCCCCGCTGGTCACGGAACTGGGCCGAACCAGCCCGTAAACCTTTGACACCCTGACCATTATACTCACTCTTGTAGAGAAGCAAATAATAGGAGTGGAAATTAAGAACAGAGAGGCGGTTAAATCTCTAACTGGAGATGGCTCCCCTAGAAGAAACTGCAAAAAAAGTCAGAAAACGGTCTGCCAACCTTACAGGAGTTGCAAAAAATATGCTGAAGGATACAATCAGGTTTCCAAATTACAGATGGTCATAAACACAGAACCTTTAGTGCTACAACCTTTAAAACCTGAGTTTACTGAGGGTACTTACTGAGGATACACCAACAGAAAACATTTGTTTCAAGGGTGCCTCAGCAAAAGGGCAAATGGTAAATGTAAGACCTCACATTAGGTATTACCATCAGCAAACAAGTAATAGAAGAAGGGGATGGCAGTCCACAAGTAGCAGACATAAGAGTAGCTGTTCCTATCTGTAGCCTTTTATGCTGTACGGGCTGGTGCCACACTGTGGCTGTCAGTGGGAAGCCTTGAGTTGGGAAGTAAATAGAGCCTCAGTTTGGAAAAAGAAAGACTGGTAATTATAACTAAATGTAGCTAGGAAACATCTTTCAAGATGGGATGAGTAAAAAGCTCACATTAAAGATAATCAGTCTGCCCCAAAATGCAATCAGAAAGTATTGATGAGTTATCTAAAAATCAAGAAAACAACCTTAGATCCTGGGTGATGCTGGTTGGAGAATGGTCACTTATTAATGAGCGAAAAACTTTATGGTCCACACAGCAAATAGATTATATGGGATCATTTAAACCCTCTGTGGGATGTCAGTAAATCCTCACAAGAATGGAAGCAGCCTCTGGATTGCTTATGGTGACGAAGTGTTGGAAAGCTGGTGGGTGAAATACAGTGTGGGGGTTGTTGTCTTGGTTCTCAAATCTACCTACCCTGACACCATCCGAAGTGACAATCACTCACATTTCTCATGTAAGAAAGTACAAGATTGGGAAAAACAAGAGAGAATGCAATGGGGTATGTCATACTCCATACCACCCTCAATCAAACGGGATGGTAGAAAGAGTGAACAACTTAATAAAAAGGAACCACAAACCACACAACAAAAGCCCCACACAGTTTTGCCATAAAGCACGACGACCAAAAGCTTCATTCATAACTCCCACTTGTGCACAAGGCAGCTGCTCTCCTGGACCAGCCCTGGCAATGAACCCTGAACAGGTTTCTTCCTGCTATCAGGCTGGATTGAGATAGAAGAAATGTAATAAGACATTCCTTTTATCAACTCAGCATGTCCACCAGCAATGGAAGAAGTATCTCTGGAATAAGCAATGACACAGACCAGCCCCCAAGCACCCAAAGAGACACCACCACCAGAACACAAGTACCCTCAGATGCAGTTAGCAAGGAATAAATTTATTTTTAAGACTTAAAACCATTATTATTAATAAATAATTTGTTTCTCCGCATGCCACACCCCACCATGGCAAGATGGTTTGGTCTTCCCATTCAAGTTTTTCTGCTCCCCCAAGAAGCTGGGTTCAGCAATCGCATCATTTCCAACAGCTCAGACAGAAACCCACCCAGCTTCACAGCAGCACGAGTTGGAAACGGTGTTGGACGTACACTGAGACCAGGGCTGCTCTCACCTGGCTTTGCCACAAGCCTGGCAGCAGCAGAGATGAGCCAGCCTGCTTTCCAGCACTGAATTAAGCAGATATTTTTCTAGCTTCAAGGTGCATCACATTAAGGCACCGAAAATCCAGGACTCTCCAAAAGATGAAGCCTGTGCAGATAGGAAGTGGTTCCAGTTTTTCAGAGGCATCTTTCTCCTCCAGCACAACACGTAATTGCAGGATTTTAAGAGAGGAAGCCCTGCTTCCATGTATTTGTAACTTCAATTTTGCTGTTCAGGGTATGTTCTTATGGGCTGCACCAGCTCACAGTCAACAGATGCTGCATAGGTGCTAAGGAGACAAAGTGACATCCTAAGGGTAAGGTGGGACATCTCACAGCATGTGAGAAGAGCCAGGATAACACAAGCTCCAGAAAAATCAACCATCCAACTGCCACTTCTGCCCCGTGCTGCCAGCACAATGCTGCTACCTGAACATGGCCCATCCCACCAATCCCTGTGAGCCTTGTGCTAGCATGACTTACATTTATCTCCCTCCATGATTGTAGTTTGTTGCATTTTCATCAAAAATTCAAGCACTGCCCAATTCTTTCTGTGCATTTTGGATGCTTTGGGTTTGTTTGGTTTTTTTCTGTACAATGTCAGTAAAACATACTGTGTATGCTACTTTATTTAATAACTCTGAAAACCATTTACCCCCTCTCCCAGGCGAGCCACCTTCACAGACACGGAGCCAGACAGACACACAGACAGACCGACCACCAGGTGCTGCCTCGGGGTTTCAAGTCTGTATGACAATGATTCAAATTCACCAAAAAAAAAAAAAAAAAAAACAACCAAAAACACACCAAAAAATAAAAAGCATTAAATAGTAGTTAACAGTTTGAAGGTTCCCTAAAGCAGGAAGAAGGGACTTCACCTGCAGAAGGAAAATGCTGTGACCGGGCGTCCACGAACCACGCCGTACAATGATCAGTGTGTAAGAGACTTTGTTCCCATGGTAGATTACATATGCACAACCTGCTGTGCTTGTTTGCTTCCGGATGCAGCCTTTCCAGAGCCTGGGTTTAAGCTACACTCTTCATTCAAGCACAGATCTTCATTAAATAAATTGAACAGAAAAGAAAATCAGCGTTCAGTCTTCACCACCCATTAACTCAATTATAAAAATGTTCTTTTTAAAAAAAAAAAAAAAAAATTAATGCAAACATGTCTTTTACAAATGGACAGTAAACAAAGATATCCCTGGATGAGACATGCAGCTGCTGTGGACAACGAGCTTGAAAACAAAGTGATGTCTGGAAAGTCACCACACGCACAGACACATACACGCAACCTGTGAGCTTTCTGAAAGTGCACACAGAACCAACATGACATACATTAAGGTGCTTCTCCAAGCTGTGGATTTGCTGCTATTGGTGATCTGGTGGAAGGGTGATGTGCAGCCTGGCTGCACTGCTATGCAAGGAGAGGCTCAGGGACCCAGCAGAGCCAACCCAGAGCAGCAAGTTCATCCCACTGAAAGGGTTTGGCTTTGTGTTACACAGGTTGGTGTAAGCCACATTTTGCTGCCATCAGAAAGCTCAGCTTGCAGGCAGAGAACACACAAAGACAGCATCAACATGGTCCCAGTACCCACCACTTGGGCAAGGGAGGAAAGCTGCCTTGCCACTTTTATGTCCTTTTGAGCCCTAATTCCTAAGCCTCCTAAAGTAAAACGTTACTGTAAGTTTTGTGGCTTTAACATCTCCTTTAAAAAAAAAAAAGGTGCCAGCATTTGTCCAAATAAATGAGTGCAAGAAGGCAGGACAGAATGTGAGAGAACTGTCACCATCTGCTCCTTAAGTACCAGCCCAGGTCAAAGGCTAAGAGGGTTAGGGAAAGACAGGAACTCGACCACAAGGATGTCCCCCTGACCTTGCAGAAATCAGCTGTTATGCTGGGTTTGGTGATAGGTCAAGGTGCTCTGCTCAGGTAAAGCCATTTGCATCCCCAACCGGCTTTACCTGAACAAGTGCTGGGGATAGAGGTTGTACTGGGAACATTCAGCTGGTCTGAAATACAGTAGTAGTGACCTGAAGGCGATCTGAAGCTTGTCCAGCTTCACCCAAAACTGTAGGCTTGTGTTGGTTGAAAAGCAGCAGAGGCTGCCCCGTACCAGTCCCGCCCTGGCTGCACTGGATACCACGTGTACGTTGCCCTGATGTCTGTCCAGAGGATAGGTTTAGATCTGTGGTGATGGTTGAACTATTTACAGGTATTTGCAGCAGATATTTACAGTACTTCTGCAGACCGCAAGCTGATTTTCTCTTCCTCCATTCCTAGTCAATCCGGCGTGGGTTTCTTTAGTGAGAAGGGTCGTATATTGAAATGCCTGCTCAGCTGGCTCACCTGGGAACAAGGACAGAGTTAGCAAAGCTCACGTCAAGAGGAGGAAACTGGCAGAGCCCTGCTACCCCACTGTGCTTGCTTTCCCCATCATTGCCCACACTGCATTGCCCCAATTCTCCAGATTTCCCCATGCCCTTCCCTGGAAGGTTTTAGGCAGCAGAGATCTGCAGCAGCTGGATGAGTGCTGAAGAACAGATACAATTAGGAAAAAGTTTCTTCTCTAAAAGAGCAGTGATGCCGTAGCACAGCTGCCCATGGAGTTGGTGGGGTCACCATCCCTGGGATGTGGCACTGAGGGAAGTGGATAGCTATTGGGCACGATGGGTTGATTTGAGCTTGATGATGTTAGAGGTCTTTTCCAATGATCCTATGATTCAATAGCCTATCCTGCCCTGAAGCAGGCTTATCTTTATCTTGCCCTTTTCAGGTACAGCAGTCCCTGAATATGTTCACAGTTAGAACTGGGGGTCAAGTGCTGGGCATTGACACAGGAGGGTTGCAATACCAAGTTTTGGATCACCAGGTCCCTTTTACACCAGCCTGAGCTTTCACTGTGTCTTCTAAGAAATGAGAACACCACAAAGGGCTGAGAGATGCAATGGAAAAGCAGGGGATCTGCTTTGTGGTGTGAGGGAAAGTATTCAGCCTTTCGATATCAGGGTGAAAGAGCAACACCTGTAGAACCACAAAAAGCAGTGCAGCAGACAGTGGATAAAATCTACAATGTGGCACGAGTGTTCAGTCATTGCAAAGCTAACAGAAAACAGTGCTGAGACCAGCAGGAAGCCAGGGCAGAGCATCTATTCCAAAATGGTGCTCCCAGATTTATAATAATTTGGGATTGTGTCCCAGTCACTGTTCTAAAATGCTATGCATCACTATCAAGGTTCTTCCATCCTGAGAAAGGATACTACACAGATGGGCACCTGGAAAACTGGAAGTGGGAGCAACACAAACTCAGGGGAGTAGAGAGCTGGAAAACTCACTGCAGGGATAGGCAAGTCTGAGCAGATGGGATTACACAGTCCTCAGCCCTGTCTCCAACAATGACTCCAAGACCAAATTTATTTAAAGCTTCTTAGCTATTCAAATCCTTCTCTCACATAAGTCTCATTACACTAATTGGAAAGACAAGACAACGTGGGTATTACTTCCTTGCTGTAATTACAGCTCAAACTTGACTCATGGAGGCTCTATGTCAGTGATGCAGCACTGAGGGCACAGGGCCACCTAAAGAGGGTGCATGACATGGCAGCAGCAGGGGGCCCTTGCCCTACTTCCTCAGCAGCTTCCTGAGGCATTTCTAATGAGATTTGGCCTCCTCTGAATTTGTTTTCTCTCTTAATCAAAATTCAGGCAGAGTTTGCTCAGACCAAGGGGAACAAATCGGTCCCTGGATCTCTACACAGCCACAGCATCACCATGCTCCAAGTCAGCTCTGTGTCCCTGTGGCTCCAGATTGAGCTCAACCACAATGACACCCACAGCAGACCAACTTTTTATACCAAAACTCCCAAATTAAGCACTCCTGTCCATCATGCAGACCATCCACTGCTGTAGGTACCCATGGGAGCCCTTCCCATTGCCTCGGGGTGAGGGTCACCCAGATGGGCAGACCTATGAGCTGGTTTCTAGGTTAAAACCACAGCCACAGCATACTAAACAGCAGCAGAGATGCAAGGATTTGTTTTAGATGCCTGCACGGCATAGGAGCCCCCACCCACGTTGTGTGAAGCTTGCTTTAAATCCAACCTACAGCCCAAGTCTCTCACTCAGCTCAAGTTCCTCATGGAGAGCTATGTGCACTGACACCACTTTAAAGCAGAGCATCTTCTGCCCCAAGGAGCAGCTCCTGAGCATTCAGCCCAACACCCATGTGTCAGGTTCACCTACCACGACCACTCCATAGTGGATGTGTGCCAGGGTGAGGAATGCAGTTAACAGGTAGAGGAGAAGTGTTTCGCTGCTGGGTGCAAATCCAGACACCACCACAAAGAGCACCAGGGCTATGGGCAGCAGCATCCAGTTCAGAGGCTGGCAGCGAGTGCTGCTCATCTGACAGACAATCAGCTGGCACTGCAAGGAGAGAAAGCAGTCAGAGCCCACACCAGCACCAACCCTGCAAACCCACAGCTGTACATAGCACAGGGGAAAGTCACATATGTACCTTTCACTCAGTTTCTTTTTCAGGATCTGCCTGCATACCAGAATTCCTTACCATGTTATCTGCACTGTAAGCAATACGAGCTGCTGGACTAGAGTATGGACGTGAGGCAGTACAGACACACAGATCTGAGATAACGAGCACAGATAGCAGTGCTCAACTTTCAAGCAGGCACATGCAATATGCAGCTAAATCAGATTTGGACAAAAGCTTCAGCCCCTCCCCCATAAAGAGCGTGCACAAATACACACAATTATTTCTGTAGTTTCTCAAGAGCTGAGAGCTGTAGCACCAATGCCTGTGATATTTGCAAACCCCAGGCCCTGTCTGTTTTGCTGCTCGTTCTTTCAGTCAAAGGAAAATTGTCACAAGTTAAAACTTCACATCTTCCTTCCTTCCTCTCACTGAAACTGTGTTCTACCTCGTCAAGGGAGGTTTCACACTTCCCAGGGGCTAAACTGAAGCATACAGCCAAACCACTCACAGAAATGTTAGCGAAGGCGGTTCCAACCATGAAATAGAAGAGCCTGGGATGGACCTCCAGGATGTCCATAGGTGAAACAAAAATCCAACTGGTGCAGAGAACAAAAAGCAACACTGGGGACACCAGTGGCAGCATGATCTCATAAACCGAGTGGTGCTTCAAGGTGTTATTTTTATAGGCCCTGAAAAGCAAACAGTCAATAACCACAGTCACGTGAGGAAGATGTAAGTAAACCTTCATTGGTAACCCCAAATCCAAGAAACTCCTGAATTATGTGGGCAGCAAACAACGGGACAAGCCTGCAGAAACTGTGAGTCCTTCAGCAAGCCGCTGAGCAGTTTGCACCCTGCAAAGTGGAACCCTCTGATGTACAAAAGCCACTTTGTCAACCTGAAAACATTCATCTGATAACTAAAGAAACTGTAAAAGGCTCTGGGAGCTCTTGCAAAGGTGTTAACGTGGGGAGGGAAGAACTTACTTGTAGAAGTTATACAGGCTCATCGGCAGCGTCACAGTGAGAGCACAAGCTGAAAGAGAAAGAGCCACGTTACTGCCCTAGCAGAAGAGGCAACCGTGTGCATCTCACAGTGATTGTGCACTGCTTTCAACTGCTTGCAAGCAGAACAGCTCAGAGGTGCACGAAGAGCAGCTCAGCAAGTTTCCAAGCAGGTGCTTGAGATGCTGGTTCAAGAGCTGTAATTACAAGCTAAGGTCTGCTGTAAATGGAATTTGAGTTCAACAAAATGAATTTTCAGTGTTTAAAAGCTGCATTAAGAAGCTCAGTGTTATGCTTTGAGCAGTTGCAAAGTTTAATTATATTGTCTTTAATGGGACCCTACAGTCAAAGCCACGAAAGCACATCACAACTCTTCCGTGTTTACACAGCAGAAGGTATTTTAACAGAGCTGTAAATCTCCCTGCTTTTAATCATCTAACTCCTATTCAGATGCACAAATCCAGTCCACATACACATCCTACCCTATTTTTCACAAAGGAAAAGTGCATTTATTATTCATATATGAAAGTACGTGGCTGCCAAAGGAAAGCTCAGAATATCCACTTGCTTCAATCTGATGCTTGCACTTTTCTTAATGTAACAACCCAAGACACATCAACTTGTAATTAAGTAGTAATAATTAGCCCCTAAAGAAAAGGGCCTAGAGCGAGAAAAGTTAAATTGAGGAAGATTTCTGAATAAGCCAAATTACATTAAGCAAAGATAGCTCTCCCCAGGCTCCACCTGCACTATTCTCTGCTTTGTTCTGATTCCACTAGGGAGAGCAGCCAGCCCTTCTTCAGGAAGGTTATGCACCCTTGGATTTAATTTTTGGATGGGTGCACAGAGGACAGGACTCCCAAAGAGAGCTGCTTTCCCCATTCCATAGCTATGTCCTCCCTCTCTGCAGCAGCCCCAGCTTTTCTCATTACAACAAACAGAACATCATTATAAAATAATTAAGACATTAGGTTTGGGGAAAAAAAGTTGATTTTTTTTTAAAAGACAGGCTTCAACATGGAGTTTCTTACCAATAATCATTGTAGTGAATAGGTCTCTATATAAGAAATTAAACAGGAAAGGTGCATACCAGGCCTCTACTCCCACAATGGCTGTCACTATGTAGACAATTGAAATGGTCTGAAAGAAAGCAGAGGACAAGCAGGCATGAGCAGCATGTAGCTCAGGGGAATGGCAGCTCAGCAAGTGCATTTGAGCTACATCATGTGCAGTTATCCCCAATGATCAGAAGTTTAAAATAACAGTTATTTAAAAGCATTCCTTGTTTTGCTGCTGCAGGGAACAACACAACCAGGATCCGTTCCTTGCAGCTAGAGCAAAGATGCCCTTACACAGCTTGAAGTGTAACATGGAGATGTGTTCTGTATTACACATCGCAGTGATCAGCTCTGCATTCCTGTTATCCACCTGCTGAAGCCATTACTGGGAATGGGCTATGAAGGGATCCTTCAATTGCAGTGGAGTCCTGAAGTTGTGTGAAGTTCATTACCTCTTGCCTTCCTGTGCTAGGCAGAGGTCCAAAAGCATGAGCAATATTTTTGGAGGAATGGGTTAGAATATGGTAATAGCTACATTTTACCAGTAGAGATAATTATTGCAATTAACACAGCTGCTTTGGTTACACTTCTTCCAGCCTGTTTCATTCCCCACCCAGGATATAGCAAGCCAGAATACAAATGGTGTGCTGCTTGGTGTACCTTGGCTAGGACAGGCAGCTGAAAGCAGCAGAGCTGAACTTCTCCCATTCTGACAAACATCCTAATTGCAAAAGGCACCCTAAACTTCTAGGCTTGAAAGCAGCTATATTAGAGACTAAGTAGAGAACAATTTAGGCAGTTAGGACATGGAGAGCAGCTAGGAACCAGGCAGAGGAAACACAAGGCAATATCCATACTTCAAGCCTCATTTCTTGCAGAAAGTCATACGCTATCCTGAGTTGGAAGGGATCCATAAAGGTCATCGAGTCCAGAACCAAAGTTCCTTGAATTTAAGATTACAGAGAAGTCGTATTCCTAGTGCCACATGACAGTGATTAATGAATGCAACTGCAGCTCAAAGTGATGCAAACAGCCTGCTCCCTTCTGCACACACAAGACTCCTCGTGCTGCTGAGTGCCTCCTGCTGAAGACAACCCCCCCAGAGCACTGCATTACAAAGCTTTGGGCCTTTCACACTTCAGCACTACATTCCAGGCACATCAGCAACCTGCTGAGCTTCTGCTGAAGGCAAGCAGAGGCTGGGGTGCATACTTACCACCTGGCTGATGTCATATCCCCAGGGCAGGAAGAGAATCCCTGTGTTATACTTCTCCCAATGGGAGAGGATGAATGAAAACAACACCACCCATAACAGGAGGTAGAGAACGAAGACACTGACACCCGTGGAGCCTCTTCCAAAGGTGGAGTAGACTGTCACAACGAAGTACACACAAGCCCAGCTGTCCAGGCCATGGTCAAAAAGCTCTCCTAAGGGTGTGCTGGAGTTGGTCCTGCGAGCTTGTTTGCCATCAACACCATCTGGAAAGAGAGCAAGAAGAAACAGGAGTTTTTACTGGACACACTCAAAAATAGTGAGTTTTGTGGATATCTCTACACAGAGCAAGGGGCCAGATTGCAGCTGACAAAGTGTGTGCAGCCAGCAAACAGAAACTCCCACGATCTCCATCCTCTAAGCAATGCTTTTGGAAGTACCACTCCCCAGCTCTCCTCAGGACTGAAAAATGAAATAGAGGGAAAGTCTGACAAGACTTTATTTGAAGCAGACCAGTGACAGAATTCCACAGATCACCTCCAAGCCAGTTCCAGCATCCTCCTTTGGCATCAGCTGCTCTGGGCCACCTTCCTTCCATCCACTTTGCAAAACACTCCCTGGAAACTGCCCTAGAGCAGGGCATGGCTGAAGTTCAGAATCAAAGATACCTCAGTGGGCTCAGAGATAAGCGAACATGCAGCTGCAGCAAGAACACAACCAACACAAACGCCCCAGACAGCCAGATGAAGTCTTACCTAACGTGTAGGCAATGAAGTTGAGGAGACCCACAACGACCCATACTCCATTTGGAACGTGCTGGTGCTCAGGAGCTGCAAGGATCAGAAAGACTCAGGGGTAGAGAGCTCAGTGTGTATGCTCAGTGGGTTTATTTTGGCACAAGATGCACAAAACATAGACCAGCAGGTCACCGGGACAAAGTATCCACACAACTGAGTGGAACTGAGATGGTAGCTCTGCAGGATGAGATAGCAGAGCTGTTCCACAACCTACGACTTCGCTTTCCAACACATACTTGTCCTCTGTGCCCAGTCACAGGGTCTAAAATCTTGTGATGGCAGCTAGAAAACATGGCCCAAAACCATGCCATGGAAGTGTGTGCAGATCAGGCACTCCTTCACTACTCGCTCAGAGCACCAAGCAGAATCTCTTAGAGGTGTGATTCCATGACTCCACGTGGTTACACCCTGCCTCTGCAGCCACACATGGGGAATCCCCACCCAGTCTGCAGCCTGCATCTCTGCCAATTGAAACTCAGTTCTTCCCTAATAACCTCTCCTCCAGCACTCTCAGCAGACAGCCAGCAGAACTGTTTGCAACTCTGGGAGCCCAAAGGTACACCTGAAAAAGCAAGAAGCTGCTTCTTGGCACAGCCTCACACGAGGATGAATAGAAGGCTCCTATGGGCAACAGTTATGCCACAAAATGTTGCTGTGGATTGATACCATGAACTGTTCTGAGCAAACTAAATCAAATATGTCAAGGAAGCTAAAACATGGAAAGAAAAATACTGGTAAGTGACTGAGAGTTATCACATGCTGTATTAATATTTTCTCTGAGACATTTTCATGAGCAAGGAGACAACAACTTTCAGATTCAATAACAGATTAACAATGGTTCTGTTACACATTTAAAGCTGTGCACATCCTTGCATGATACAGAACAGTGAAATGGTCTTTATTAGTTTGAATGTGGGGCCAGCACGTTTTTGCAAGAGGGCAATTAGCTGGGATGCAAATTAAAAGGCTCTATTTGCTGACTTCAGGAAAGCAGAGTTTCCCACACTTTTGATTTCAAAATGAGGGCACTAGATTTAGTCCACTGTGAAAGCAGAGCTGAATCCTCCTCAGATTTGGCCATTCCTTTCTCTTTCACTTGCACACAGCCAGCCAGGAGCAAATGCACCCAGCAGGAAGGTGTCACTTGGACAAGTCCTCATTGCAAGGCCCAGAAACTTCAGGCCCTGAACACCATCCTTTCCTGACACTGCCATCTGCCTTGGAACACCCAGGCTGAAAGTGCTTTGCAACGAGCACAAGAAGTCACAGCAGAGGAGGTGACAGCACACACCCTTCTGATGCTTTACATCCAAACAGAAAAAGGCAGCCTTACCAGAAGCGTAAAAGTCAGGGTCGAAGTATGCCATGAGGAAGAAGTTGAAGACAAGCAGCAGGAAGCCAGAAAATGTTATGAGATTTGGGGCCAGCCAAGTAGGGAAGATCTATGGGAAAGCAGCAAAAGAACAAATGAGCTCATTAAAATGTGCAACAAGGCTGCTCCTAGCTGCAACAGAGACCTCATTACAATCATCCGAGTGTTAGACAACACTGCTTGCTTGCATCCAACATCATGGGCAGCATGAAGCTTCAGGCTGCAGTGCAGTGAGCTCAGGGCAGGCTGCCAGCTGGAAGGTCATGCCCACTTAATTAGTCACACCCCAAAGGAAGCAGGTCTTTTCACACAAGCGGGGCCTTTCAGCTGCAGAATTCTTGGCAGCAAGTGGTGTTCTGCTGTCCCAGACAGGGCAGGAGGAGGTCTCACCTTCACTATCGTGTTCCAGAAGGGATGCATGACGTACACAGACAGAGGGTTGCTGTCCACAGCACTGTACTGTGAATGAGAGGGGAAATAAAAGACAAAAAATAATAGTTAGGGCTCCAAGACTTCTTGAAGCAAGTCAAAGAACCTGAATGTCAAGGCTTCACTTGCTGCCCAAGTCTTTGCATTGCAGGAATGCTTGCGCCAGGAACGCAGTTATAAACAGAGGACAGTGAGCAATCACAAAAGTCCTGTGTAAGAGCTGGTACACTTCAGTTCAGATTAAAACCATCAAGATGACAGCTCTCACTGTCACACTCATCTCCAGTCACTTGGAAGAGATCTTCTCCTTCCAGAAAGCCAGAAGATATTTATGAGCAAGAGCTCCAACCCCCTGCCTTGTTCTGCAGGACCTAAATCACAGAATCATAGGTTGGAAAAGACCTCTAAGATCTCTAAGTTAACTCATCAGTACCATGCCACATACACCACTGTATATCCACAATCACCTCCAAATCCTACACATCCCATTACGATTTAAGCAGCAAAGGGTCATTTGGCAGCCCCCAGCACAGGTGACCTGGGCTGGATGGAGACGTGGGGCACAGAAACAAAAGACTCAAACAAACAATGGAACGGGTTCCAGCTCAAAAGTTAAATTTCGACATCATTTGGCTCTCAAAGCACCACAAGCTGTTATCTGCTCTCCAGCTCACAGCCTCTTCCCAGCCAACATCACTCTGTCTAAAGTCCTCTTCCCCAATAATCACTTTGATAAGTGCCCCAAGAAAAACAGTTCCATTCACTACAACACTGCTCAGCTCACGTGCTTCAGGTGATGAACCTTGGAACAGCATCATCCACGCAGTGTTGGGCATTGGTGCTTGCTGTCACCCCATAGCAGGGGAAAGCTCAAGAGCAATGGGAGGGAGAGTGATCAAAGCCTCCACCCAACCTGGGACACGACCTATGCTCTCTCTGAGATAAGGGGAACTTGGTTGTTCAAAGGAAGCACAGCAGTGCTCAGTTCCTAGCCCTGAACCAATCAGTATCACTATCTCTCCATGCTGTTGCTTCTCAGAGCTCTTCTCTTTGGCTGCAAATCAGGTTGGATTTTAGGAAAAATGTCTTCTCTGAGTGGTCAGGAACAAGGAACTGTCCAGGGAGGTGGTGGGGTCATCATCCCTGGAGGTGTTCCAGAATTGTAGGGATGTGGTACTGAGGGACGTGGTCAGTGGGCATGGTGGGGTGGGTTGGGGTTGGCGATCTTGGACTCTTTTCCAAGCAGAATAATTCTGTGATTCCTTGGAAACAAAGGAGATTGCCTGTTCATGTCAGAAGCCGGAAAGTGGTTGTTTGGAGACAGAAGTGCTCCAGTAATCAGAGCACACCTGTTTGGTTTTTTTTGACAAGATTTGCGAATATTCACATAGGATCTCCCACTGCATCCATCATGGGCAGCTCCAAGCACAACCCTGCCAGGCTTTCAACCAATGGGTAGAAGAAAGCCCACCTACTTCTCCCAGCCATCACAGTGCTTGTGTCATTCCATTCCCACATTCCTAACGGGCTCAATCCCACCTTTAGCAGATATTTTTGCTCCCACCAGCCCTTCCCCTCCTAACAGATCACTCTGTTTCACTAGGAATTAACCAAGCACTATTAAGACACTCGCCTTGATCTTACAGTACCAGCAAGCCCACAGGAGACACAGCAGAGCAACAAAAGCCTGAGCTTGACATCGTATGAGACAAAGACTAAGCCATGAGGAATTTCCATCCCAGCTTAGCACAGTTTCAGAGGACAGAATTTCAAACAATTTATGAGATAATAGGATTTGGGCTAACTACCAACTAGGGGAGGAGAGCTGGAGACTGATAAAATCTCATTATCCCCATAACAGCTTGCAACAAGAGAACAGATGCCTCACCAGGTGCAAGGCAGGGGAAGCACTCTGGAGTCTGCTCCTGTTTGGAAAGCACCCTGGGGAGGTTTTCAGGCCACATCCCAGCACATCTCTCTTCTCTCCACACACTGGGGGTAAGAAGCAATAAGCAGCTTTTCCCCAAGCTCCCAACTTGTATGCAGAGCTCAAAGATTCAGAATGACCCTATTTTGGGGGGTAATGCTCAGCTGTTTTGCAGAGGCTCACTGATGCTCTGGTTTCCTTTCCAGAAGCTTGGGGCTGATGGCCATGAGGCTCTAACTACAGCAGTGCTCCACTTACCACACATGTACCTGCTGTCCTCCAGCTGCCTCATCCTTCCTTCAAACCAGCATCTCCATCTCCATTCTGAACCTCTACACATCCATCTAACAACTAACACACACCATTTGTCCTTCCCCAAGTCATTTCTCTATCAGGGCCAGCAGTCAGGATTCAGATTTCTGCCTTATTTTCAAGGAAGGAAGGACAAATAGAAGGAATTTCATATGCCCCAGAGGCTCCTTCTCAGAGCAGACAGACGGCTGTAATGGACACTGCTCTAAAATAGCACCGTGCACACAGTTAGTGCTTCTCCTTACAATGGCAGGAAGGATTCAGTCCTATGGGGTTTTGGTTTTAAGCTTCACAAGAATACAGCCCAGCCAACTTTGCAGCATCAATCTCACAGTCGGCACATTGCAGCTTCCCTGTGCTCCATCCCCGCCAGCTGAGCCCCTTGCATCCAGTCAGTTTATCCACATGCCCTCCACTCTCTTGCCTACACATTCCAGGCCACACAGCACAGGGATATTTCCCATCAGCACTGCAATGAGATTTACCTCCAGGAGGCTTTTTCCAAGTGAAGTGGTATCATTTACTCTAAAACCCCTTCCAGGCTGAGGCTTCCCCCATCCACCGCATCCCATCTCCAATTCTGCTGGACAACATTTCCAAACAAAGGAAACTGCAAGAAAGGCTGTAAATACAAGCAGCACCCTAGAATGGTCCATAGGACACCACAATGGTCCCAGCTGCCATGGCACAGCACTGAGCTGGTGCCCATCATTATGGAAGTTAGAAAGAGGAGCTTAAAACCAACATCAAATGTGCAAATGGAACATTTCTCTCCTATAAAGAAAGGCTGAGAGCTGGGGTTATTCAGCCTGGAAAACAGAAGGCTTTGGGGCAACGTCACTGGGGTCTTTCAACACTTAAAGGGAGCTTATAACAAAAGACACAGTCTGCTAATGATAAGACAAGGGGTAACGGCTATAAACCAAAAGAGATGAGGCTTAGGTTAGATGTAAGGAAGAAATTCTTTACTCTGAGGGCAGTGGGGCTCTGGCACTGCTGCACAGAGAGCTGTGGGTGCCCCATCCCTGGCAGTGCCCAAGGCCATGGATGGGACCTCTATGGGATGAGTCCCTACCCACAGCAGGCGTTGGTCCCTTCCAATCCAAGTAGTTCAATTACATTCTGTGATTTCTGGAAGATCCAATTACACGTCCAAGGAAGAGATGCATATTTATAGCCCAGATTCTCTTAATAGCTTTCCTAACCAATAAAACAATGCAGCTTTTAAGTAACCCAGCTACCAACAGCAGAAAGCACTTCATCATACTGGCGACCAGTGCAAAACACACAAAGAGCTTTGGGATGGGCTGGGGGAGCCCCGAGGCAAGAACAAAGCAGAAGGAGCCCCAGCACATCCATAAGGCTATTTCCTACAAATCTCCTTAAGTGCAAAGGGAGCACAAGGCTAAGAGCCTCTTCCCTTGGGGCCCAAGGTAAGCCAGGAGGCTGTGAACTTGACAATCCACAGCAACTGTCATCAAGTAGAGCTGTGCCAGCACAAACAAGCCACGTTTGCACTATGCCCACGCTCTGCTGATGCATTACAAGCCACATCGTGCTTTAATGGTACTTATTAACTTGAGTCCTGCTGATCTTCCCTAAGGTCAGTTCTCAGGCAGTGTAAGAATGGAGCACATTGGCAACAGAGAGCACAGGACTGTCGCATGAACCGAGGGTTTGGCTCGGAGGGATGCCAGCATCCCCAAGCCCTACCCAACATTACAAGCCTCAATGCTGGCACCATATCCCTCCTTTGGCCATTTTTCAGTCCTCATTCTGGAGAGGTTAAATATACAGCAAAGTCAGAACTGCTTTCCTGCAAGAACTCCTTTCCTACAACACTGAGAAGCCTTGCTTGCACTCTCCAGGCCCAACAGGGTGTGCAAATTAAATTGGGAAAGCAGGATTTCTGCCCTGCCCACAGCTTCTCATGGTCAGAACCACAGTTCTTGCTGAGATTATCCCTGCCTTCTGCAACACACCCGTAGGACTGCTCCTGCAGCAAAGCCACTTGTTCTTCCCTGCAGATCAGGAGGCAGGAAAGGTGCTCAGGAGTGCACAGAAGCAGCGCTCATTGGGACAACAGCTTTATGTCACAGCAGATGTACTGCAGAGGTAGAAAACACACAGCAGGATGCACAGCACCAGTAAAAGCCATCCAGGCAGAGCTGATACCCAGAGCTGGTGCTGAATCCTGCCTATTTCAGCCACATCCAGGAGCTCACTGTGTTTGGGAGTGTTAAATATCTGAGGTTGCAGGAAGGCTGCACAGATGGTGAGCACAGGGTGGGAGAGCTCAGAGGCCAGTGGCAGGGACATAGCTCGAGGAGGATCAGCCAGCAACAAGCTCCTGGAACAGGGAATGAAGGGATCAGGCAAGAAAAGCAGAAATATTAAGAAGAAGTTTCTCTCCGTGTGATGTTGCAACAACCACCAAACATTCTTACTCTTGCTTAAAAGAGGAGGGCTGATGTACATAAAGGAGAATGAGATTTCATGCTGACAGATCTGGGAGCCTGCTCCTGGTGCCAAAGAGAACCAGGGGAGCAGGCAGGTTGGTGTGGAAAGAGAATTCATTGTGATTCCCCTAAAAAGAAGTCAGTCCAATTTTTAACTATACCTATCAAAGGAAAACACAAACCCACGCACATCAGGAGATGACTGCAGATGAAGAAAGGCACCACCAGAAAGGAGGGGGAGGGCTACCTTCAAGTTTCAACAGAGGCATTTTGAAAGAGACAAATAAAACACTTTTTTTTTTTTTTTTTTTCTCCAAAGCTCCTAACCTTCC